GGCGCACACCTTTAATCCCAGCACTAGGGAGGCAGAGGCAGGCAGATCTCTGGGAGTTTGAGACCAGCCTGGTCTACAGAGCTAGTTCCAGGACAGGCTCCAAAGCCACAGAGAAACCCTGTNAAAAAAAAAAAAAAAAAAAAAAAAAAAAAAAAAGAATAGGCCATGCTTTAAACAAGCCACAAAGAGATCAATAGAAAGGGATCCGTTTCAAAGAATAGAAACAGATGGAAAATATTAAAATTATATGGAGTTTATAATCATTCCGTTCTAACAAAGATTATTATAAACAATTTTAAAAGAAATACCTATAGCAAAGCCGCTAATCAAGGAATTAATTTATGCTGGATTGAGAAAGTACATCTGATATGAAATACTATCAGAACAAATATTTCGTCTAAAGCAGGTTCTGTGCTTCTAAATTGTTTATAACCACATTTTCTGCAGCTTTTTGCCTTGGATATCATATTGAAATCATATTCCAAGAAAATAAATATTGAAAATATTCATGACTTCTTAGATGAGGGACTAAAACCATTTAGTCAGAATGACTCTTAGTATACATATCAAGATATAACTGCACTGGGCAATGGTGGCATATGCCTTTAATCCCAGCACTCGGGAGGCAGATCTTTGTGAGTTCGAGGCCAACCTGGTCTACAGGAGCTAGTTCCAGGAGAGGCTCCAAAGCTACAGAGAAACCCTGTCTCGAAAAACCAAAAATAAAAAATTTTATATATATATATATGCATTGCTGTAGTCAATATTTTACTATATTCTAAATATTTAATTATGTCTATTTAATATGTATAATGTTCATTATTATTTACAAGAATATAAATAGAGATAGTCTATCATAATACACTTGTGATTACAAATATTTCCAAGATATAGTCCCTCTATATCTCTTTTTGTAGTAAGAAGTATGCCAAAACTACCAAAATTAACATGACACAAAAAGGAAACTATTGTGAGCTGAAGTTTAGCAAGAAAGCAATGGAGAGTTGAGCTCACCCACTGAAAACAGCGCACCAAGAAACAGTGACAGAATCCCTATATTAGCAAGTATGGCTGTGTTTGGGGTTCTTAATAGAAGTCATTCAATGGTTAGCATTGTGGGTTTGGTAACTAATATCCGCATGGCATTCATGAATAATTTTGGTATAGGTTTCACCTCCTGGCTGGATGCATGTCAACTCTTTTAACTTTTGACCTCCGGGTCTTTCTGAAGTGCTTGCTATCAGAGAGCTCTATATCTGAGCTTCACAGTGTGTCTTCTTCCTGATTCACTGAGTCAGGATTTGTAGCGATGCTCTCTGGTTACAGCAGGGATCTGTTGCAGAATGGCCCTGGAGTGACCTGCATTTGCCGTGAAACACTTCATAATCTGCAGCTAATGTTTCATGAACAATAGAATCTAACTCTTAACTGGTATGGCCACGTTTAGGGTTGAGAGTAGAGGCCATTCAATGGTTAGGCTGTGGTGGATCCGAATCTGAACTTGGGCCAGGTGACTCAGACCTGTTTCTGAGCTCATGATGCTTTCTGTCTGTCCTCTGGTGCCATGCTGGAGTGCAGCCAGCACGTATGTGCCAAGAATTGTGCTAATCACCTCAAGATGCATCTAGACATTTAGCTCTGACACAAGTGCTTTGCAGCCAACCCAGATATTACAGAGGAGACAACAGTGGTCAGTTAAGAGCCAGTCAAGTTCCCCCCACTGACGTCCAAGCCTCTTTGCCGCAACCGTGCGAGAAGGTTCTCTCAAGTCTTGGCAGCAGAATTCTGCTGAGCCTCCAGTTTTACCTTAAGGATAGTTTGATTTTTGTTGATAACTGCCATTTTTTGTTAGTTAATTGACATCTTGGGAAGCGACGAGTCAAGTTGGTGGCCTCTTGTTAAGAAAAAATAGAAATCTATATCTTTCCTTTTTTTTTTTGAGTGAATTTCATGTCTACCTTTCGTCATTAATCTTCTCTCAATAAACAGGGTGGCCATAGACTATGAGAACAGAGATCATATTACACTATATGTAATAATACAGCATAATGTCCATCTGTCTCTGAGTATTTGTTGCCAGAAATGTATTGATATTTTACTCTGTGTTTATATCTTGGCTTGTCAGGCTAATCAGCAGATGCTTTTGCAGTAAGTAGTAAAGACATAAAATCTAGGGCGTCTTTGCATTGGGTACTCAGAAATCTTAAAAATATGTAGCCATTCACCCAGAATGATTTTCTTGGCAGTCCTGGGAAATAAACCAATAGACTCCTGCATGCTAAGCAAGCAGGCTATCACTATGCTCCAACCCCAACCCAACATTAAAACTTTGTTTGTGAATCTACTTAAAGAAAATGTATCATTTGAAGAACGGATTCTGTTTTAGAATGTTAGTCATAAAACTTATCTGCACAAAAAATAAATAATTCATGTATCTAATAATGAAATTGACTAAATAAAGTATGATACATCCATAATTGAAGTCTTGAGATGTGTACTATAAAATCCTTATTGACATGAGAATTAATTACTTCTTAACCTTACTTGGCAAACAAATGTTTATTGATAACCAACAGTATGTGTTTTAATTAATAAATATATTTCAATAACAATAATAAGTGAGTTGCTGGGGATGAGGCTCAGTAGCAGACTCTCTTTGGTACTTTCCCCACAGGATCAGGTCTAGTTTCTCATCCCCTGTAGGCTGTGCTCTGTGGCTTGTTTCTAATGCATACTATCTATCGTGGGAGTGATGCTTGCAGTGTACGTCAAAGAGCAGGGAACTCACACCACACACACACACACACACGAGACAGCCTTTTCTTCCTCCCTTTTCTTTCTCCATCACAATACGATTCTTGGGATTGTGACATATAAGCTGTCACCTGAGAGCGTGGCTCACCAGGAGCTTCTTTGCTGGAGGCGCCATGAAGAAAAACTATATAGAAAGCAAAAAAAGGATGCAGGATCCCAGTTGCTTCAGTCCCAGCTGTTGGGTGCCCTAGCCCAGACACCAGGCGCGTGGCCAGGGAGCTCAAATATTTCAGCCATGCTACATGAGGCTAAGTGAACCGAATGTAAACTGTCCCCATCAAGAGCTGCTCAAACTGCAGATTCGTGGACAAAATCAAGTTTGCTTTTAAAGCCATCAAGTTTTAATATGATTTCTTATGCAGACTTAGGTAGATACGGCAAATCTTTACCAAATAGACAGGTCACAAACCATATAGACATGTATATAATCTCTTTGTTGTTTGCACGTGATGCTGTTATAGGTGCATAAAGTAGAAACATGTCAGCAGAATTCCTTTAGGCTGGGGAACCATGAGGACGTGGGCTGTCACTGTGCTGTGTGGACCACCTGCAACTGTGATACATTCAGTATGTCTATAATCACAGGAGAAGTTAGCGTAGATATTGCTGAATAGGTACACAGGGAAGGATGAATGAACGGCAATAAAGACTTCATTCTAATCAGCTGTTCCCATGGTGACACATATCACCCATCTTGCTCCTGAAATACACATATTAAATATAATTTGAGCCTTCTGTGACTGTGTGCTCTCTGGTTCACACCTGCTGCATTCCCAGCCTAGGAAATAAGACTTGAGGAGGAGAGAACCATGGCTTCAGGTAATTTAACTCATCAGAACTGTTATTAATTAAACCTGTTTTCATCAACATTAATTATATTCTTAGAAAATTTGGGATATATCTGGTTATTTATAATCAATTTGTGTCATATACATCACAGAAAAATACATATACACTTTGTCTGCAATGAAGCACCAGGACCAAAATACAAGTTGGGGAGAAAAGAGTTCATTGCTGTTCATCACTGAAGGAAGTCAGAACAGGAACTCAAACAGGGCAGTATCCTAGAGGCAGGAGCTGATACAGAGGCCATGAAGGGGTGCTGCTTACTGGCTTGCTCCCCCTGGCTTGCTCAGCCTACCTTCTTACAGAACCCTTTTCCACCTACTGGACCCTACCCCCGTGATGACCAGTTGAGAAAATGCCTTACAGCTGGATCTCAAGGAAGCATTTCACCAACTGAGGCTCCTTGCTCTGATGACTCTAGCTTGTGACAAATTGGCACGCAAAACCAGCCAGCACACACACGGGCAAATATGCATATTCATATGCATATATAATGTCTTAGTTATGCCAGCATAAAATGTGGCCTCTTGTTCACTGCATGCCAGAAGATTATTAGTGTTCTCTGCACACACTGCAGATGTTCATTTTGCATAACGCAAGGTAAGATTATGAAAAAAAAATGGGTTTTGTGCTTTGATTATGTAGACTGGCTGGTAACATTTGCTTTATACATCTGTATTAATGAAGACAGTCAAGCAAGCTGGGAAAGTTGGTTGTGGTGAACAGAAAGAACGTTTCCCTGCTCTGGGAAATGACATCATGAGCACAATTGGTTAGATTTGATCTAGAAACATCAGACAGCTCTTGCAGTAACTTATGCAGGTGATTTACATAATTATCACTGCCCATGTACAGGAGCAAAGCAGAACCAAACGAGTTAAGACTTGCACAATTTATCTTTGGTATCAGAAGCCTGGAATAAATCCATTTCAATGTTTTGGGAACTGTGAACTTGTTTCCCAGCCTAGCTATAAATAACTTGAATGCAAGCTGCAAAATGTCCTTGGGCTCGCTGACCAGCTCTGCCACCCTGGTGCTATTGCCGCAAAGATTTCTCCTCCTTTTATTTCCTTATATTGTAAAAATGTCAGCGGCCGTGTGACATCACGTGCCCTGAGCAGGGCAGCATCGATTTAACTAAGTTAGTGATTGCCATGTGCCAGACTCTAAGTGCTTAGCTTATATGAACTCCCACTGAAGCCTCATGAGAGCCTTATAAGGTTGGGGTTTCCATTATCCCCACTTTACAAGTAAAGAACTAAGAAAAGAATGCAGTGACCGAAATCCTCCACTGCGCATGCGTCAAAGCCAGTTGGCCGTTGCCAGTATGGAAATAACAAACAAGAGGTCACCTTAGGAGCCTCGTCGTGGAGCGAAATCTGTGCCGAACACTTGATGCCCATTAAGGAAAATGACCCGAAACTCAGAAATAAGGGAAAGTGGTGAGTGCCTGCCTCGACGGAGAAGCATCTGGAAGCCCTACCCGAGGGCCATCCAGTTCCTTATGAAGGTTATTAATGTTTGGTTTCTAATTATTATGGATCTAGGGCCAGATCCTATGAACCATGGTGCTGACTTGTAGCAGACAAATACATTTCTAGTAATATTTGGAAGGTAGAGTATAAACAAATTCTAAAATGGTCATCACACATGTTAAGTTTTATTGCTTCAGAGGACATTACCCACCCTTATAAATACTTTTGATTTTTATTCTATGCTTTTCTTTCATTTGCTTTGCGTGTCCGCCCCTTTACTCTTCCTTTAAGTGGCATTGCCCTCGGAATAGGTTCCCATAGGCCTAGATGAGAATTGGATCTTTTAAATAACTCCATGGTATTCTTATACTCAGAAATTGCTTAGGTAAAATCCCAAAGGCTAGGGTTGTAGTCCTTCATACTGGGGACAAATTTCTGGGCAAATCTAAATGTAAATTCAAAAACCTCTCATTTGGGAAGGGAGCAAAGAAAAATATATAGCTCAATAAAAACAATTATTTATTTATTTATTTATTTATTTTAGTTTTTCGAGACAGGGTTTCTCTGTTGCTTTGGAGCCTGTCCTGGCACTAGAGACCAGGCTGGCCTCGAACTCACAGAGATCCGCCTGCCTCTGCCTCCCGAGTGCTGGGATTAAAGGCGTGCGCCACCACCGCCCGGCAATAAAAACAATTTTTAAAAAGCCTCTCATTTATTTAAGAGTCCAGGTGTAGTTAGGTGAAAGAATATTTGTCCAAGATATATAAGGCACTCTGGGTTTAATCTCTAGCACTATGAAAAATAAAACAAAATAAAAAGATAAAATAAGAATGTTTGCCTTTGATTCCACCACTGAGGAGGCAGAGGCAGGCAGATCTCCATGAGTTCAAGGCCAGCCTGGTCTAAATAGAGAGTTCCAGGACAGCCAGAGCTGTATGGTGAGACTCTGTTGCAAGAAGAAGGAGGAAGAGGAAGAGAAAGAAAAGAGGAGGTAGCAAGAATTCTTCTGAAGATAATAGAAATAAAATGTAAAATTGTAATAAAAATACAATGATCCTGGCCAATGCGCTATAAGAAAAGTAAGATATAGAAATCCCCCAAAGGAATCAGTTTGGGGTCAAGATTAGATCATTTTTAGAAGGCAGAACTGGACAATTTGTTCTAGGTTCCCCAGCACTTCTGCACTGAGCTACATGGTGTATACCAGCACCTGTCTGAACAGGTTCTTGCTATGTAACCCAAGAATGGGCTTAACTTATACCCCTCCTAGCTCCACCTCCCCAGGTCTGGCACTACCACCCTGTTGTTGTTGTTTTAACTGTGACAAAGTCTTACTGTGTCACCTTGGCTGGCCTCCAACTTCCTATGTAGACTAGGCTGTTCTCAACCACCCAGAGATCCACCTGTCTCTGGTCATTTTTGTTTTTTATAAGTAGGTGGAGTTCTTACTTTTTGGGTTTATATGTAACTTAAATTTATTCTATGAATGTAATCCATCCCTGAATTTTAGAGCAACTTCTACGGATGCATTTGTAACTTTGAAGGAATGTTCTTGCTGAAGCAGTTTGAGCTCCAATTTGGTCAAGTCTAAAGCAAATTTTGAAGAAAGTCAACTTTAGCATTTTTTTTTCTGTAAGAATGGAGAAAACTAGAATACAAATTAAGGAAACCACATACTGTTAGAATCTTTTTATGTCTTTTTTTATTTTATTAAATTTTTTTAATTAAAAATTTCCGCCTCCTCCCCGCCTCCCTTTTCCCTCCCCTCCCCCACTCCCCACACCCCACTCCCCTCCCCCCCTCTCTCTAGTCCAAAGAGCAGTCAGGGTTCCCTGCCCTGTGGGTAATTCTAATGTAATGTTGGTCTTTCGTAGGAAGGAGTTATGCTCTTTTCAAAATTCTGTTGCGCCAACTTTCCAGACTAATTCCCGTTAGAAGTGATAGTCATATTCTGGCAAGGTAAAAACCTTCGTTATTAATAACCTTAGTTACTACCTTGTGTCAAAGTGTGGCACTGGTCTTTGTGAAGTGCAAAGCAGAATGACAAGATCTAGAGGCTGCCTTGGTTAGCCTATTGAACTGTATGCTTTAAAAACGGTTAATATCATATTAAACAGATTTCGTTTTTACCACCCTCTCTAGGACCAACATATGTGTCTTATGTTGTTAATTCTGCATCCACCACCGATGACCTTCCTGTCCCATTGCCGTGCTCATTGCTTCCAAAAGGCTCAGTCCAGACCATTTAGTGCAGGCTGCTCAGTATTCACTGAATTTCCATTCCAATGCTGTTCTATTTCTGCCTTTTATTCCTCTCATATCTCTATTCCTTTTGCTTAAACATTCTAATCCTCACGCTCCTACCCTGGAACGTGCGAAACCTGTCGAGGCTGGACCCCTACAAGCCCTTCCTCCCCTTAGTATGTCTACAGGTGAACTGGCTTTCCAGGGGCTGGACCTGACCAGGTGATTGACAGGCTCAGCTGGATTATCTCTTGAAGGAAGGAGACACTAGTAGGTAAAGCCTGGGGTGGCTTAGAATGTCATATTCCTTACAAGGGCCAGAGGTGAGACTTAGATTCTATTCTTTTCACTGGAGGGAAATTGTTTCTTTGAATGGATGTCAGCAAAACCCAGGGTGCCCTTCTTGCCATTTGGTAACTTAAAGTAATAGGAAAACTGGTGTTTACCTTTCTCGTGTTACCGGGGAAACGGGAGGAAGGGTGCAACGTCAAGCATAAGGAGATAGCCTCCTCGATAGCCTTCAAGCTGTTAACTCCTGCAACAGATGTGCCCTCCCCAGCTGCCAAATACAATTGAGAAAGGAAATTGGCTTCTGATGGTATCATCTATTTCTGTCCAGCACCTGTTGTTTGTGGACAAGATTTTTTTTTTTTTAAATACGGCATGCCCTCCAGTTCTACATGAGGGGTCAAACAAAATTAGAAAGACCCAGAGGGGGGAAGTGGAGACAATGGTGGTTGTCTCAGACACCAGAGATACCCTCTTTTAGGAAACACAACGGACTTGCCTAGTGAGATATCAGGTGATCGACTGGATTGATTGGTGGAATTACAAGAGGAAATCAACCTTGCTAGAAGCAGGTTGGCCTTTCATCAGAACTATGAAGGGCAGCAGGCTCTCCGTGGGAGAGGAGACTGCACCTACGCGCCAAGGACTTGGATCTTTAAAGAGCAGAAAAGGGAACTTTTAGGGTGGGAGACCCCATCAGCAGGTCAGTTCCCCGAAGGAAGGCTCCACGGAGTAAATACCAGCGGTTGGTCTGTTGATCTTATCAGAAGCTTCTTGGAACAACAGCCAAGGGTGTTATTAGTCAAGTCCACTTTCCTGTCCAGTTTCTCAGCCCACCTGAGGCTCGTAGTTCTTTAACCCTTCACCAAGAGTACCACTGCGGAGGGGTCATTAGCCCTCATCAGCGAGAAACTGACCAATAACTGTGTTCCTTTCCGTTTGCACGGCCGCTTAGCTTCCCGGATGCTATGCGAGACGGTGCTTCGGAGGGAAAGAGACAAGGATCTGCCTTAGTTTCGTTCTAAGGGAAGGACTGAGTTGGTGCATTTTTGCACCGTTGAATGGATGAATGGAGGTGTGACGTCGACAAATGGACAGAAGCGTTGCTCTCTAGGGGAAAGAGTGGGACCTGGCAGTGAGGGAATGCGAAAGGGGGGTGGGTAGATGGCGGACGCCAGCGAGCATCCCTAAGATGGGTATCCTAGGGTGGCAACTTCTTGTTGCCAGAGCAACATTGTGGCAGAGGACGGTGGGAAAGAAAAGCCCAGCAAGGGATGAATACCAACACCAAAGAGAAGGGAAAGGGCCCTGTGTGCGTTATCAAGTTTGAGGGTCACAATCTGCACCAAGTGGGGTCTGGCCACACATCCTCAACAAACCAATTAAAGGAGCCAAACTAAAAAGTGGAAAGCCGAAAAGAAGATTTGTCCAATGAGATTCTCTCTCCTTTACCCCAGGTCTTACCATGTATCTCTTGCTGCCTGGAACTTGCTATGTAGATCAGGCTGGCCTGGAACTCCCAGAGTTCCTCCTTCCTCTGCCTCCCAAGTGCTAAGACTAGAGGTATGTGCCACCATGCCTGGTAAGAAGACTGTAAGAAAATTAGAATCGTGGATCCTGTGGAGGTGGGCTTGGGCACATGCGTGAGATGTCTGGCTACACTGTTCAGAGCCATAAGCTCAAAGCGCCAAACCCCTTGTGTTAAGTAGATGCAGCCTTTATTTTCTGAGCTTTAGCCGCCTCTCATTGTATCCTTCTGTGGACTCTCCATGGGGTATCCACTGGGAGGAGAGGAGGAAGAGAGAGGAGAGAGGTCAGGGATGGGGAAGGAGAGGGCCCCAGGGAGGACTCTTCTCTTAGAAGGTCACCCTGTCAGGTTAGGGTGCTGCCCTGCTGTGGTAGTTTGAGTGAGAATGGCCCCATAGGTATAAGCATTCCTCTGTCTCTGCTTCCTGACTCTGCACACAGCAGGACTAGCTGACTCTGCCACCATACCGTAATCTCTGCCACAATAGTCAATATTCCTGTCGTTATAGTCCCAAGGAGGAAGTTACAGATCACAATGCATATACAGCCAAATTGGAGCCTTTTATTAGCTGGAGACTGATATCTTGGCACCAAGCTCAAAAGTACAGTGTTTATAAAGGCAAAAGCCAAAACGGTGTCACAGTCAGGTACAGGTCAGGGGACCAGGTAGCGTGTGTTTTGGCCATGCACTCAGCAGATATTGGTGGCCCATCTGGGCATGGTCAGGGTCCTGGGAAGTCCTGAATGTGTTGACTGTTTGGGAGTTAGAGGCAGATAAGTGGAGTCAGGGTAAGATCAAAATGAGATGGTGTTACCTTGGCCACTTCACCCTAAGCCAGCGTAAACCCTTCCTTCCCTAAGGTCCCTTCGTTGGACATTTTGTTGCTGCACTGAGACAAAACTAATGCAGGATGTGGAACTGGGGAGGAAGGTCATTCTTCAAGCCGATACGGAGACAAGGAGACAAGAATAACAGAATTTGTTTCTCTACTCAGTTTCACCTGTAAGCATTGTTTTATAAATACTCTCAAATAACAACAGATACCTGTCTGACATCTCAAATATAATCATTGGACTGAAGAGATAATGCAGAACTCTTGTTTTAGGTCAAGATGACTGTTTGGAAAACCAGTAGTAAAAACAAGAAGACTTTGGTGTTGGAGAGATGGCTCAGTGGTTTAGAGCTCTTGTTGCAGTGACCCAGTTTCGATTCCCAGCATGCACGGGCTGGCTCACAATCATCTATTACTCCAGTTCCAGAGGATCCAATACCCTCTCTGCCTTCCTTGGACACCAGGTGTGCATACATATACTATGCAGGCAAAACCTTCATACACATAAAATGAAGTAAATATATATTATATATAAATATATTTATTTAATCTATGTTATATACAAATAAATATATATTAAAATGTTTTTTAATAGAAAGGCTTGTGCATCTGAAATGCAGTTCCGGGGCACTTGAACTCAGACACGCCAAGTTACTCATAGGCGCTCGGAAAGGTCCAAGGCATTACTGTACACACCATGCACAATACGGCTCCCCAGCCCTGAGAGTGGTAACTGCTACCTGCCCCAGGAGTGGTCAATCTAACGCTTATCAGATTGGATGCTTTCGCTAGTCGTCTCTCTACAGGACACTGTTTGTGTCAGCAGAAATAATTTGCATGTGAGCCACAGATTCTTATCTATCGCTGAAGTCATAGAACCGGCGCTGTGGACTGAGGGCCAGAAGAAGCCTTTGTCTGGTGCTGCTGTGTCAAGGGGTTGCTCTCAGGCTTTCAAAACCAGCCACCTGAGATTTGACAACCTGAGACGTTGAAGTGTGACCTCCAGTTTAGAGGCTGCTTGTCACTCTCTGCTCCTTTTTAAAATACAACTTTGGATTCTTCGCCTAAGGATTCCCAAACCACCTCTCATTTCACTTAAAGAGAGATTCACTCATCTGGGTGGGATCCTAGCCAAGCCTGATTGCGGTGAGTTTTGTTGTGGTTGCCCGCGTAGCTTATGTGACATCTAAAGTATAACAACCATCCAAGTGCAGATTATGTAGAACGAGTAAGGAAAGCATATCTTTGTAACTCAGGCTAGGGGCTTCACTATCCTCAATAAATATTTCAAGGGGAAAGCGAAACCGTACCCCTGGCAGTCTAGTTGTTTCTCCTTGGAGCAGCAGTCACGTGACCTTGTCTTTCTTCCCCACCTGGTGGGTTCTGTTTGAGTAGATGACATGCGAGCTTGTTTCTGCCTGGGCAGAGGGCACAGACCAGATGGAACATAATACCTGGATTCGGGTGTTTATCCCCGTCATTCATCTTAGTTAATTGTTAACTTTATACCCGATCCCTTTTTAATTAAACCACATGAACCTGTGCTATAAGTAAACATAACCATAAGTCCGACCTTATAAATTGTGGTCAGTTTTATGGTTATATGGCTATGTGTGTATGGGGATATGGAGGGGGGGGTGTGTGGAGAGGCGTATGAGGGACAGGTATGGGGATGTATATGGGTGTGTGTATGTTCGTGTGTGTGCATACTAAAATTCAATGACCAATGAACAATAATTGCAACTCTTACCATCAGTAAAGTCACTGCGAACACTATAAACTTCTGTTGCCACCTTTAGGTCAATCCCTAAACCATGTGAGTCTGTCCCTGTTGAAACCCTAGCACACCCGTGTTCTGCTGTCTCCACTTCCCGTCAAGCCTCTTCCCCCATCTACCATGACTCCCACCTGACTTTCGGGCCTCCGCAGACATTACAAGTCAGGAAACAAAGTTTTAAATTTGAAGCCATAATCCACATCTGAGAAAGAATATGTGGTGTCTGACTTAATGAAGCGGTTACCTTCCTCTGTATGGTATTCTCCTGTCCCATTGTGTAGATGGACCACACTTTCACTATCTGTTCATCAATCCATGTGCACTCGACTGATTTCATTTCCTAGCTCTGTAGATAGAGCAACAGGGAACTCAGGTATGCAAAGGTCTCCGCAGCAGGACCCAGTTTTTTTACTATCTGCCCGTGAGTGACATTGCTGAACCATACAATAGATCTATTTCTAGTTTTTCTGAGAAACTTCCAGACTGATTCCCATGGTGGCTGTACTATTTTACACTCCCACCAACAACCTATAATGGTTCCATTTTTCATATCAGTTTATTGACATTTGTGTGTCTGATGATGACAATCACAACTGGGATAAGATGAAATCGCAGAGAAATTTTAATCTGTGTTTTCCTGATGGCTAAGGATGTTGAACAGTTATTTAAGAGTTTATCAGTCATTTATTTATATTTCGTCTTTTGAGAACGCTCTGTTCACGACCTACTTTTTAATTGGGTTGTTTATTTTCTTGATATTGAGTTCTTGGTGTTTTTGTTTGTGAGCCTAGCTTTTAATGGCTCAATCTTCTCTCCAAGTCCACTTTTTGAATTCTTTATATATTCTAGGAAGGAATCCTCTGTAAGAAGTATTGCAAAGATTTTTCTCCCACTTTGTGAACTGTTTCTTTATCTGGTTGACAGTTCCTCTGCTTTACATAGTCTTTTAGTTTCATGAGGTCCTATTAGACAACTCTCAATGAGTTGGTGGATTTGTAAAGATGGAAGTTAAGTGTAATGAGTACTGATTCTATATAATTTGTCAAAGCAGTAGAAAAGGCCAATAGAAAAATAGAAAGGCAAATAATAGATTTCAAAATAGGGAAAAAATAATTATAAGAGGAGATGTTCAGTCTCTCTCATAATCTCAATGCAACTACTGTCTGTGGTCCCTCAGTCAGCACCCCACTGCTCAGGTCATGGTCTGGCAAAATTTCAGGTCCCCCAGACCCCAGCTCTGCCATTGCCACCACATTTAGCTTTTACAATAAATCTTTATTGTTCTACTTATCAAAAAAGACTTGGGAGTCAGATGTTGGGAGTCTGAGTCTGCTCAGAAAGACCAAGAAGCAACCAGCTGATCTTCCTTTTTGTCTGGTCACCCAACAAGACAGAATCTCTCCAGCTGTCCCAAACCAAAAAGACCACAGGAAAAACTCCAAGTCCCTCCTTACCACTTCCTGTGTGTCTCTCTGTTTCCCAGGTTCGTCCATACTCTCTAGGGCTAATTCTTGTCAACTATGGCTCCACCCCCTGATCCAATGTTGATTTTATTAACAAAGAGTTGGGTTTTTAACAGTATAATCAAATACCCCACAACAACAAGATAGATAACTAGATAGATAGATAGATAGATAGATAGATAGATAGATAGATAGATAGATCATTCCATAAGTTCTGTTCCTTTAGAGAACCCTGACTGTGTCTGATTCTTTCTACTGGCACCAAACATAGAGCTGAGGTTTGCTGCCCTTGCATAGTTTATATATGTTCCCTCTCTTGACCCTGAGTGTTCTTTCTAACTCCTTCCCTTTGAAGCTGGCTTTATCTCCCTTTCCAACTATCTTTCTGCTTCTGGTTAAGGTTGTAGATCCCCAAGTATTTGGCATCATGAAGGACTGCGGGGCATTTAGTCTGCTTCCTGATCTTTGGGAAGAAGCAATGCTAAGCAGTAGCTGATAATTTATTTCCCTCAGTAAAAGCTCTCGGCAAATTTCCAGCAGGGGACTCATCTTCCAATAGGATTTAGGAGTATCTTATCAAGTCTAGGCCCGGAAATGGGACACTCACTGGAAGAAAGGGCAGGGCAGAGATTTTTGCCTAGAAGCAATGGTTAACTTTTGACTATTACTGAAAATTTTTTTCTATGAATTTTCTAACATTTAGAGACAAAACATTTTCTTTTTCTTTTTCTCTCACAGTGAGATTTCTTCTAGCCATCATATGTCATTGTGGCAAAATCGGCCTCGCTTTAAGATCTCTTGTTTTGTTTGGGACTGGAAATCAGGACTTATTCTTTCAAGCCTTTGTAGTTTGGTATTTATGGGTTTCAAAGGAACTGGCAAATAACCAGGAAATTTTTTATATGAAGTGAAAATGGTTGTCATATATTCCTCTCCTTATTCTGGGATTAACCCCCCCCCTTCTGTTTCAGAAGAGGGTCCCTGAAATTGTCTTTTGTGAGCTCCACTCTCTTTAGTCACAGAAAGGGACATCTCACACAGGTTGGACTGAAAAGAGAGCCTTATCCCTTGAATGACAAGTCTGGGGTAGAAGGGAGCATACACTCAGCACCCAGGTGACCCTCAAAACATCAACATGAATCCTTGGCTAAAGCAAGTGAGGAGCCTGGGACCATAATACCTGCTAATGGAAAGACTTAGAGAAGAGGGTTTTGAGTTCAATGCCAGCTGAGGCAACAGAGCAAAACCCTACTCTCAAAACAAACAACAACAACAACAACGAAAGGAATTAAAACCAAACCCAAACCATCCTTGCTTGGACTCTGGATCGGCAGGCACGTTTGCAGAATGAAGCTCCTAGCTGAATGGGGCTGCTGAAAGGGAGCTGTGTGAATCTAGGCAGCTGCTTCCATCTCACTAGAAAGGAAACTAATTAAAAGGGCATTTAGCAGCATATGGAATCCCTAGGGCCGCTGCCACTGCTGCCCCAGGAATGTGAGCTCACCCGGGCAAGGTCGGAGCGTCTGCTTTTGTGTCAGTTCTGAGCCTGCTTGATAGCGCAGGCAGCTGGTGTGCAGTTCCTCTCCTGGGAGGGCGTGTGCTCCAGAAACTTCTGAGGTGACGTGTTTCCTAGGTGCAGAGAGGGCTTCCAGATGCCACAGAACAAAACAATGATCACAGCCCTTACAACAGCCAGAGCCTTGGTTTCTGGGAGAACTGGGTTTCAGAAGCAAGCCTACAAAGACATAGAAAAGCCAAACTGTAGCCCAAGTCACGTTATAGGACCTCTGAATCAACCGGGCTTTGGCCTTTGAACCCTAGCCTGTTTATAGACGCCGATATGGTTTTCTTGGCTTACAGTCCCCATTCCCCTTTGAGCTGACTGCCTGTCACTTGTCAACAAGAGAGTTCTGCCTTGGTTGGAACTGCACTGCCAGTCCTGTGGAGACCTTCTTGCTACTTGCTTGGGGAATTTTTCCCAAGTTTCCTCAGCCAGTGCCTTCTGAATACTCTAGAGGTATTGGTACAGACGTGCCTGGGGGAGGAGGAACCGCTGTGCCCATCAGCCAGGCTTGCTGGTCAGCAACTTCTGCCTTAGCCTGTGCAGATCCCCAGATTCTCTCCACTGTTGGCCCTTTGGCCTGCATTCCAAAGAACATCACCGTCAGCGATGTTCACACAGAGTTCACACAGGACATCCTCCATGCCAGCTGCAACGCCAAGATAGGCGCTTGGTCTCTAAAATGTGTGACCCTGGACGGAGAACCGCAGGTCTGCTTGCGGTTTAAGGGGTTGGTATGTGGGGTCAGATTAACCCGTGATCAGCTTTCTGCTATAGGACGCA